TTTTGCAGGAAGGTGGGTGGGAGGAGGTGTATTCTAGGTAGCTGTGGGAGTCGGTGGGCTTGAAATGGATATCGGTTTCTAGGTGGTTGCCCGAGACGGAGACAGAGACAGGTCCAGGAAGGAGAGAGAGGTATTGGAGATGGTCCAGGTGAACTTAAGGTTGGGGTGGAAGGTGTTGGTGAAGTGGATGAACTGTTCGAGCTCCTCGTGGGAGCACGAGGTGGCGCCGATACAGTCATCAATGTAACGGAGGAAGAGGTGGGGTTGAGGGCCAGTGTAGGTACGGAAGAGGGATTGTTCCACGTAACCTACAAAGAGGCAGGCGTAGCTTGGGCCCATGCTGGTACCCATGGCCACCCCCTTTGTCTGTAGGAAGTGGGAGGAATTGAAAGAGAAGTTGTTGAGGGTGAGGACGAGTTCGGCTAAGCGGATGAGGGTGTCAGTGGTGGGGGACTGGTTGGGCCTGCGGGACAGCAAGAAGCGGAGGGCCTTTAGGCCATCTGTATGGGGAATGCAGGTGTATAGGGACTGGATGTCCATGGTAAAGATGAGTTGTTGGGGACTTGGGAATTGGAAGTTCTGGAGGAGGAGGTGGAGGGCGTGGGTGGTGTCACGGACATAGGTAGGGAGTTCCTGGACTAAGGGGAAGAAAATGGAGTCCAGATAGTTGGGCAGGAGCAGGCGGAGACAATGGGTCGACCAGGGCATTCCGGTTTGTGGATTTTGGGAAGGAGATAGAAGCGGGCGGTGCAGGGTTGGGGAACTATGAGGTTGGAGGCCGTGGGTGGGAGGTCACCTGAGGTGATGAGGTTGTGGATGGTTTGGGAAATGATGGTTTGGTGCTCGGGGGTGGGGTCATGATCAAGGGGGCGGTAGGAGGAGGTGTCGGAGAGCACAAGCTTCAAAATCTCCCCTCCCTATCTCATCCCAAACCCAGCCCAGCTCGTCCCTGCCTCCCTAACCTGTTCTTCCTACCTACGAACCTCATCCCGCCCCCTTGACCTGTCCGTCCTCCCTGGACTGACCCATCCCCTCCCTACCTCCCCACCTACACTCACCTTTACTGGCTCCATCCCCGCCTCTTCGACCTGTCTGTTTCCTCTCCACCGATCCTCTCCCCTATCCATCTTCTATCCGCCTCTCCCTCTCTCCCTATTTATTTCAGAACCCCCTTCCCCTCCCCCATTTCTGATGAAGGGTCTAGGCCCAAAACGTCAGCCTTTCTGCTCCTATGATGCTGCTTGGCCTGCTGTGTTCATCCAGCTCTGCACCTTGTTATCCAAGAGGGAGTGGTCACTGCGGAAGATTGCCAAGGGAGAGGAAAATGTGTCTGGTTGTGGCATCCCGTGGAGGCAGTGGAAATGGCGGCTGATCCTTTGGATGTGGATGCTGGTGGGATGGTAGATGAGGATGAAGGGGGCCCTATCACTGTAGTGGGAGGGAAGATGAGTGAGGGTCAAAATGTGGAAGATTAGTCTGACACGGCTGAGGGCTGTGTCAGCCAGGGTAGTGGAGAATCTTCAGTTGAGGAAGAAGGAGGGCATTTCGGAGTCCTAGGTGGTATCACCAGAACACATACGGCAGAGACAGAGGACCTGGGAGAATGGAGTAGAATCTTTACAGGACTTTGGGTTTGAGGATATATGGTCAAGGTGACTATGGGAGTTGTTGGACTTGTAGTGGATATTGGTGGCCAACCTACCCCAGAACTGCAAACAGATATCAAGAAGGGAAAGGAGGAGTCAGAGATGGACCAGGTGAAGATGAGAGCAGGGTGGAAATTGGAAGCAAAATCAAACTTTCTCAATTCCAGATATGAGGAGGAATCAGCACTGATGATGTAATTGGTAACTAGAGAAAGTGTAATGGGTTGGGGCCACAGTAGGATTGGAACAAGGAATGTTCCACGTACCCCGCAAAGAGACTGGCACAACTAGGGCCCATCTGGGTAGCCACTGCCACTCCTTTGACCTGAAGAAAGTTTGGAGGAGTTAAAGGAGCAGTTATTCAAAGTGAGGACGAAATTGGCCAGGCAGAGGAGGGTACTGGAGTATGGGGACGGTTCAAGTCCTTTTTTAAATTGGGAAGAAGTGAACAGCCTGAGCAGATCCTGATGGGGAATGGATGTGTAAGGGCTTTGCATGTCCATGGTGAAAAGGAGACAGCTGGATCCTGCAAACTGAAATTCTGAAACTAACTTAAAGCGCCAGGAGTATCCTGGATACAAGGGGGAAAGGACTGGACAAGTGGGAGAAAAATAGACGCATGGTAGGAAAATCTGAGTTCTCTGAGGCAGGGGCAGGCAGAAACAATTAGTCTGCCTGGTAGTCCTTGTTTTTTGGATTTTGGGAAGGAGGTAGAAGCGAGCAGTGTGGGGTTGGCGGATTGTGAGCTTAGAGGCAGGTGGTGCTAAGTCACCAGATGAAATGAGGTTAGTGACACTTATGGACACCAGAGCATAATATTCCGTGATGACGTCGTGGTCTTGGGGGCCGGGGAGGAGGAAGAGAGATCTGAGAGCTGACGCTCAGCCTCCGCAATGTTAAGGTCAGTATACCAGACAATACCAGCACCATCCTCATCAGGCTTGATTACAAAGTCAAGTTTGGATCTGAGCGTATGGAGTGGACTCACTTCAGAGGGAGTTTGGTTGTCACAATTTCTCTGCTCCCTTATCCATTCCAACCTATGCCATGTTAACAGTTCTTGATGAACAGGTTGACTGGAGATAAAAGGCCAGGGGGAGGGGTCTAGGTGGAGGGAAAGTTTTGGAGGCGGATGAAGGGATCTGTGGAACGGGGAGTGGACTCTTGTCCAAAGAAATGAGCATGGAGATGAAGGTGATGGGACAAAAGTTCAGCATCCTGGTGGGAGTGCAGAGGGATAAAACAAGACTTTTGCTGAGTACAGAACATTCAGCATCAGAGAACAGAAGATCAGAAGAGATATAAATACACGACTGGACGTGGGGTTAGGAGAGGGGATGGAGTCAGAGGGAAGGGGCATGGAGGAAGGTTGCATAGGGGTATCGGTATCTATAAGTTGTTGCATCTTGTGTTCCTTAATGCCTGAAAGGAAAAGAAAGGGTTGTCCAGAAAAGGTGTGCAAAACCTCCTTTTTTGGAATCCTGGCTTGTGTTAACCCTGTCATATGAATTAAGAGGTCTTGAATCCTCGGGAATATGTTGGTTTATGACTTCACACATCAGTGCTAGTATGTATCAAGTTGCCTCAACCTAACTTTCTGTGGGTTTTTTTCAGCGAAGATGTCAAGGAAACTAAGCTTGCCAACTGAACTGAAGCCTGACTTGGGTAAGTGTGAACACTGACATGCCACCTGGTGTTGAAGTGTTCTTTGTCTGTTTGTGTTTGTTGTAACTGAAAATCAGAAATTAGTGGTACATGTTGATCCACCAGTCTAAGTTGATTGTACTTGAAGTTTGAATGAAACTTGTTTTGGTGGTACTGCTCTTATTGTAGAATGTTAAATTCTGTTCACTGATCTGTCCATAAGCACCAACCTTTGTACTTTCTCAAGAATGAGATTGAGCAAGAGAGCAGACTCCCATTATGCTGCAGTCAGCCCAAAAATGGGAAGTCAATATTTTTGTTTAGCTATAACATCAGAATGACCTGGAGCAAGCAGACAGAATGTTGGCACTACCTCACAAACCTCGGATTTCCATGGCCCAGAAAGAGGAGAGCCAACAGTTACATGGAAACTCCATCACCTCTAATTGCCCTCCAAGGTGCCCTTGTCACCCAATATGGATAAATATCATTGATCTTCAACTGTTACTGGATCAAAATTTTGGACTCCACTACCTAATAGCCTTGTGGGGATACCTTCACAATATGGTCTTTAGCAGCTCGTAAAGAAGAGGATATGAGGTTACAAAGGGATTTAGATACATTAAATGAATGGTCCGTGATCTGGCAAATGGCATATAATATGGGAAAATATGAAATGTCTATTTTCCCAGAGAAATAATAAGGAAGCGTATCAAAATGTTGAAAGATTAGAGCTCAGCAATCTGGGGGTCCTCATGAACTTCAAAGGGTTAGTCTGCAGGTACAGTACGTAATTAGGAGAGACAATAGAAAGTCATTATTTATGTAAGGGAAATCATGCATTAAAAGAGAGGTTATGCTTTTATACAGGGGGATTGGTGGACCACATTTAGAGAACAGTGTGCAGTATTAGTCGTCTTATTTAAGGAAGGATGTAAATGTGTTGGATGCAGTTTGGAGAATGTTTACTAGACTAATGATTGAACTGGTTGATGTCTTATGAGGGAAGGTTGGGAAGGTCAGGCTTGGCTTGTATCCATTGGAGAATAGAACAGTAAGTGAAGACGTGTTTGAAACATACAAGACCTTGAGGCATGTTGAGAGAGTGGATGCTGAAAGGATATTTCCCCTGTGGGTTATCATTTAAAAATAAGGAGTAGCACATTTTAAGATGGATAAGACTTTTTTCGAGTTGAGGCTTCAGAACCACCTCCTCAAAAACTAGTGGAAGGGGAGCCTTTGCATCTTTTTAAGGCAGGGGTAGACATAATCTTGATGAGCAAAGGGGTGGAAGTTTATTGAAGATGAGCCAATATGTAGAGTAATCAGATTGGCCATTATCATAATGGTTGAGCAGGCATAAGGGCCACAGTGGCCTTTTCTTCCTCTTAATTCATACGTTCGTACATCTGTATAGGGTCTGCTACTACCTGCTTTAGGGGTAAGTGATGGCACAATGGTGACTAGTAATCCAGAATGCCAGGCTATTGTTCTAATTTCTTAACCATTGCAAATGATAAAACTGTAAGACATAGGAGCAGAATTAGGCCATTTGGTCCGTCATGTGTACTCCACCATTCGATCATAGCTGATATGTTTCTCAATTCTATTCTCCTGCCTTCCCTCCATAACCCTTGATTTCCTTACCAGTCAAGAACCTATCTATTGCTGTCTTAAATACATTCAATGACTTGGCCTCTACAGCCTTCTGCAGCAATGACTTTCACGGATTCACCAGCTTCTGGCTGAAATTCCTCCTCCTCTCTGTTCTAAAGGGTCATCCTTTCACTCTGAGGCTATGGTGTTGGGTCCTCACCTCTCCTCGTGAAAACATTATCTCCGTATTTACTATATCCAGGCCTGTCCGTATTCTGTAAGTTTCCATTGGATCCACCCTCATCCTTGTAAACGCGATCGAGTACAGATCCAGAGACCTCAACCACTCCACATATGACGGGTTCTTCATCCTGGGGATCATTCTTGTAAATCTCCTCTGGATCTCCTCCAATGCATCACATTCTTCCTCAGATATGGGGTCCAAAACTGCTCTCAGTATTCCAAATGTGTTCTCACTAGAGCTTTATACAGCCTCAGCAGTAGATTTCTGCTCTTGTATTCTAACCTTCTTGAAATAAATGCTAACATTGCATTTGCCTTCCTAACTGCCAACTGAACTTGCATGTTTACCTTAATAGAATCCTGAACTAGGACTCCCAAGTTTCTTTGGGCTTCAGATTTCTGACGTCTTTCCCTGTTTAGAAAATAGTCTACGCCACTATTCTTCCTACCAAAGTGCATAACCTCACACTTGCCACATTGTACTCCATCTTCCACTTCTTTATCCACTCTCCTACCTCTCCAGGTCCTTCTGCAGCCTCCCTGCTTCTTCAACATTACCTGTCCCTCCATCTGTCTTAGTCTCATCTGCAAACTTAGCAACAATGCCCTTGGTTCCTTTGGGCCAACACGGACCCCTGCAGAACTCCTGGTCACCAGTTGCCATCCTGAATAAGACCCCTTTATCCCTATTCTCTGCTTTCTCCCAGCCAGCCAATCATCTATCTATGCCAGTACCTTTCCTCTAACACCATGGGTTCTTATCTCAGCCTCCTGTGCAGCACCTTGTTAAAGGCCTTCTGGAATTCCAAATAGATCACGTCCACTGACTGTTCTTTATCTAACTTGCTTGTTATCCCTTCAAAGAATTCTAACAGGTTTCTCGGGCTTGACCTCCCCTTGACTGTGTCATACTGACTCAACTATATTTTGCCATACACTTCCAAGACAAACATCTCTAATCATTTCAAGCAACAGATTTAATTCATAGCACACAGATTTGGCCATTTTTCCATTCCAGGATGTGAAGCCAAGTTCATAGCCTTGGATGTTGAATGTTTCTTTCTCCATCAGAGGCCTGTGTTATTGCTGCTGTTTAGTAATTTCCTCCCATATGTTGTCAGATCTATTGCTATTCACAGCCTATAATGCTTTATAAAATAATTTTTATGGAATGCTACAGCAGCTGCTATATTTCTATTGGTGGTCCTCCTCCTAATCAAACCTATTTAATAGCACCTGCAGATCATTGATTAAGCATGAAGCTTTTGAGGAGTTCCACATAGTCTTCTGGTGTAACCTGACACCTTGGTTATATAGAGCTCATCCCTGCCCAAAATCTGCACTTCTCAATAGTTAAATTATATAACCATATCAATATCTGATCTGCACGTTCAAAACCTGGGCCACTAAGTTGTAAAGAGGGGGCATAGCTGAGAAAACAATGTGTATCACAATTTGACTTTAATTGATGTTTTTACGGTTTACCTTTATTCTGATGAAGGCAGTGGAATATAGCGAGCTTGAAAACTCCACCTTCATTTAAAAGCAAAATATTCTGCTTTGCCTTCACAAGAAGACTGTCCTATGCATATCCGTGGCCAAATGGGGACCACAGTACCAAGATGTTTCATAGGTGACGATGAATCTGCATCATGCATTTTCACCTATTGCTAGGAGTTAATTTAACCCTTCTATTGACCTGCTTTATTTAACCCTTAATTTAACCCTTCTATTACATTCACCTGCCCAATTTGCGGTCCTGCCCATGGACGATTTTGGCTACCTCCCATTTCTCACTCCTGTATATTTCATAGCCCCCAATCTTCCAATGGCTGGATAATTCTTTCTGCAGCATAGATGAGCATTGTGTGTCAGGAGGCTTTGAGGAAATTGCTTGATAAATTTAAGTTTTTAACTGGCAAATCCCCTGTCCCTGGAACTGTCTCTGAAAGTATCTATTTAAATCTGAATTTGAAAGGTTCTGCTACAGTTAATGGCTATCCAGGAAACATTAGACAATTAAGTACCTGATGGTATTATTATTCTTCTTCGTCGTCGTCGTCGTCGTCTTCGTCTTCGTCTTCCTGCTCAACTTGCACCTCATCCAGATCCCTTGCATTCCACCCTTCTGTGCCAGATCATGATGCAACATCTCCCTTGCCCCCAAAACCCCAGCACTGGAGTCAACATGCACCCCTCTTCCTTGGGACCCAAAGCCGCCTCGGACCCAATATACCCCACCTTCCCTGTCACCATACCTGATATCCCACTCCTACCAGGACACAGCACCACCACCTCTGCCTGCCAGAACTGACCTACCCTCAACACTCAGTCGCTTGCTTGGCAGCCAGCCCACCTGGCAGCCCAACTTCACTCAGCTCCTTTGAAATAGTATGTTCTACTGGACATTTAAACTATGCAGTTTGGCAGCGATTGCTGTGGAAAAGGCAACATAGTTCGCCTTTCAATGAATGACCTGATCTATGAGGACATAGTTGCATTAAAGGTACACTCCACTTTTCTGTAGGATCTGTAATCTGAATCTCCTGCCAGAAATGTAGAGCTCTTGGTTTACCATATTAAAGGAAGGAGCTCAGCAGCAAGCTTGCAATATTTATCATTCATTCATAAAACTGTCCCATGGTCTCTGGGTACTACAAAGTGCTTTACCTGCAAATAGTTTAGAAATTTAGTATTTTTTTTTATTTTGTCGGGAGATGGGGCAACTCTTCTGTGCACGACATCCTATAGAAACTAAAGAGATATCGACAGATTCATCTGTTTTAAACATATTGGCCCATGACTTCTGATTACTGTTCAAATAGATCTGCGCAGGTATCGGGCATCTCCATCGCAGCCTGCTGTCTTGGCTTTGACAGAGGGAAGTGAGATCACACCCACTTCTGATATCAGAGGACCTAGGTGCCACCCTTCAGGGCAGCAATGCACACATAAGGATTTCAATTTCAGGTTAATTGTCATGAAACTATTGTGGATATTTTTAAAGATTAATTTTTTCAGTTTCTTTTTAAACATTTTAACATTGCTTTTATTAATTGCAGTGAAGGAGTGGAGTTGTGGGTAATTAGGATGGTTAAGGAGGCAGTGAGCATTTTGGGTAGGTTGAGAAAATGGGGCTCTGGAGTGGGTAAGAAGAGCTGAGATAGTGATGAGTTGGGAAG